ATGGAAGAGCATTACCCTCAGTTCCTCAGGCACAGCCCTGATACCCCACACTGCCAGCTCGCTGGCCTGGCCCCTGCTCCCCTACCTGCTGGCACCGCTTCACCCGGATCTGGATGATGGGCCAGAAGCGGGTCATGTTCTCCAGCAGGATCACTCTGCTGTCCGAAGGCAGGATGGTAACCTGCAGGCAGTGAGCTCTTAGCATGCCAGGCAGCCACACCCTCCCACGGCCAACCCCCATTTTAGTCACAGTCTCTGCACTCCCCCTGCATGTCCTCTGTATGCCAGCAGCCCCAGCACAGCCCCGGGGCTTCCCCCACCAGGGCCCCACTCCTGGCTCACAGCCCCAGCACACCAGCCTGCTGCAGCCTGGTTACAAGGCTGCCTGTGCCCACCTCCCAGCACCCACTCGAGCCTACAGGCCAGGGGAGGCTCCTGCATGCCCCCACCCATAAGCATCCCCCAGGGCCTCACACCAGGGTCAGACCTCCACAGGGCACAGCAAGGACCAGCCCGCCACTCCCATAGGGACTCACTGTGTTGAGCTCCGTTCTGATGGTGGCAGGGCTGTCCCCACCCAGCACCATGACACGGGATGGCATGTAACTGGAGTCCTCACTGGTCACCAGCATGCTCATCTCCCTGCAGCACAGCAAACACAGGGCTGTCCAGCAGTTCCCACCTCCCTGCCCTGGCCCCCAGCTGTGCCACATACTGCTGTCCATGTCCTGCTACCCCCAGGACAGGGACCACCCTGGCAGGGCTTGCACAGATCCCCAGAGCCCTCTCTTCCACATACAGCCCTCTCAGCCTTCCTGGCCCAGCCCCACCTGATCACCACACCACACTGCATGTGCACAGTGATGAAGTGGGAGCCAGTGCTGCCATTTGACTCCCAGTATGTCTTGTGGTTCCTGTCTGTGAGCCTGCTGGCCTGGTGCGGGTTGGAGGAGACCTGCACCTTCTCCCAGCACTTCTCTTCCTTCACCTCCATGCTGGAGCCTGTGCAGAGAGAACACAGAGCCTCCAGCCACCAAGCCAGCACATGCCAGCACAGGGCTCAGTTCCCACTCCCAGCACTCACCTCGGCACAGGTTTTGCAGGAAGACATCAAAGAAGGGGATGTCGATGGGCTGGTGGCTCCGGCGGTGCTCCTCAATCTGTCCCAGGACCAGCTACAGGACGAGGCAAGGCTCTTACCGGGGGCCCCCCCATCCTCCTCCCCTCACCCACCGCAGGGCTGCGGCCGGCAGAGAGCAGAAGGCTGTCCCTCAGTGCTGGGGACAGCCTGATAGCCCCAAGACCCAGAACCCCAGCACAGCTGGGCCTCCCCAAGCCCACCTGGATGCAGCCAGCCAAGATGCTGGTCGTCAGCTTCTTGTAGAGGCTGGCGTACTTCTCACAGTCCGTCACCAGGTTGAGCAGGGCTGGTGCCAGCGACGGAGCCACGCTGTGCTTTTCCAGGGCTTTGGACAGAGCCTCGTGGGTGCCCACGTGGCACATCACCACCACACAGTCCTTGCT